CATGCTAGACATCTCTTATATGTACTTTGACATGCAGGCTGCTCGAAGACAAGAAGATATTTGAGGAGTCTGCATAGTTAATAAAATGCCACCTGAGTGAATTGAGCAGAAAGCACCGTAAGTTGAGGTTAAGGTTGACCGCTTTAGAAAGAGCCTTTTCTTAACTAATAAGAGAAGAGAAATGCGTTAATCTTGATCGGAAAGTAGAAAATACACGTAGTGTTCGTAGGAGGAAGACTTTAGGAAAGAAAAATTGCTCACGCTACCTGTTGCTTTCATCGCTGCTAAGCCAAATTTTCAAGCTAGGAAAAAAACGAAAAATGGTAGCCCATCTTACTGGACTGATGACAATCTTTTCAAGTATGACAATAGTTCACTTCGAGAAGTACGCACTCGGAAAGCATCGCTTCAATAGTGGACTCGTTGTCATCGATGCGTGCGAAAAACTTGAGTGATTGAAACTATGAAGTCGAAATCGCGGTTTGGAAAACGATATGCATACATTTCGATGCTAAGCATGCAAAGAAACGTTGACAAATATTTTTCTTACATTTGCTAAATTGGCCCAACGGGAAATGATTATGGAAACTGACGTCAGTGTACAGGATCTGTTTGCGCACTTTATTTTTTTTGCAAATTGTTATTACTAAGCAGTTTGCCATGAGCCTTTCGTCATTGCTTGGAGTTTAATTTCTGATGAATTCCCCTTTGAAATTTTTGCTTCTGGTTCGTGGAAAGCGGGCTACACATTAATGGCCTTTTTTAGAAGTTCTTATCACCAATGGAGACAAACTTCAGGCGAAAAGAAAGTTTGACGCTGACATCAAAAAGAGGGTCGGCCAAGAATCTTCCCTTCTGGTTGAGAACTGTTCTCATTCAATCACTGAAGTACCTGTTGGTACTGCTCACGATTATGAGTTCGTCGATTACATTTGAATACGCGATATGCATGACGTTCATTTCTAGCGCCGTCGTCATTTGTAAACAGGCTTGCTCCAATTTCCTTCAGCTGTCATAAGAATCTTTAATAGAGGAAGATTCATCGCTTCAATCACGTACATGATACTTTACGGTGAATTTATTGTGTTTGCCGTGTTGGGTTTCCCGCCCGTGCAAAGTCGGTTTCAAAACATGCAGGCTTCTGAAAAATGAAAAAACCGCATCCATTAAGACCTCGAACACTCGACTATCCGGCTATGAGGCCAATCATAAATCCATCCAGCCATCGACAACTATCCCCTTGGTTACTGGCACAGATTGGACGGGTATAAAGGCGAAGTCAGGAAGTCCGCGCCTATTCTCGATTCTCCCTGTAGTTGGATTACACTCTTAGAAAAGACATTAAGCAATCTTTGGCCCTCGTGTCATCTAATCACGAAATAGGATTTGATAACCAAAGATTCTCTCTGTACACGTTCACCTATGATGTCTCGCTTTATACGACATCAAGTGCGCTTGTCCGCGAACAATCTCTAGAACTTTTTGCGCGCAGCGCAAGACGAGAAAATTTGTAAATCAGTACCCAGAAATGGCGACATATGGGATGCACCTCATTTCAGAAAACGACTGCCTGCCCTTGCCAGGGACTCTTAAAAGACTTCGAAGAGAGATACAATCATTGTTTTCAACAGAAAACCTCGGGTGTGGTTCACTAGGACAGAAAGCGACTTTTTCGCGTTTCGCAGCGCGAAACATTTTCCGCTGCGGGAACCTCAGGTCCACCGCTGATCATCAGTGGACCCGAGGTTCCCGCAGCGAATCATCAGTGGACCCGAGATTCCCGCAACGAACAATGTTTCGCGCTGCGAAACGCGAAAAAGTCGCTTTCTGTCCTAGTGAACCACACCCAAAACCATGCATCACGCGGATGTGCCGCACAAGGACACGACGTGACTTCACGAGTGGAGAAATCCGCGGCTACCCGACCTACCCGATGAAATCGGTCCCGCAGGAAGCCAGTTTTGGTAGTGCTTCAAAGAATCAATTAGTCTTCAATAATCTGAAGTAGCCTATGAGTGTTAATTTAGGACCGTGAAGAGTCGCTTTTGTGGACACTCACAGATCTCATTGTATCATCGAACAATAGTTAGCTCCTTTGCGAGGCGCTGTGTGAATGGGTCGGAGTATTTGTCGTGAGCTTCATCGCGTCAGGACTCGCAGTTTGCACTTTGACGCCACTCCTTGTTAATACTTTTTATTCTAACAACAACGAATATCTTATTGAGAGGACCCCACAAATTCAGTAAAGGGAAGAGTGAAGTGTGAAAGCTGCCTAGAATTGAAGCCCCAAACGAATGACCACGGCAAATAATTGACGAAAAAAAGATTACCGTATTCAAAAGATGTTTATTAGACAAACCACTTTCCACTGCACATTTCGGCATGCACCAAGAAACCAAAAAAATCGTTACCAAAAATAGTTCATGCTCATCAGAAGTCGTATTTGAGAAGATCGGCCTGGTCTGCGAGTGTCAGATGCGGGGCTGCCAGGAGCTGGCAGCGATCGACGGCTCACGACCAGGTAGGTGTCAGACTCAGCGACTGCACAGTCGCGAGACAAGAGTGCCGTAGCTATTGCAAGGAGCAGACGCTCACGAAAGTTTACAAAAGGACACCCTCGTGAGAGAGCTTACTCTCGGCACTTTTCCGCTCGTCGTATATGGATCAGTAAGATAAAATGCAATCGGCAGATCGCTGTCGCTACCGCTATTGTGCAATCGCCGAGTCTGACACCTAAATCACACGCAGCCGCGTGTTTCAGATACGACTAACGTGACATGATCCCTGCAGGAACCTACTGTGCGTAGTTGTGCAGTGCAAAGAGACAAACAGCTGAATTGTAGTTCGAGATAGCAAATGGTAACGACACATACGGTCAAACATTTTATTAATGCTGTTATTATTATGATTTGCAGTTTTGTCGAACCCATATGCAAATGTTTTACCTAGAACGGACACAACCACAGACACACAAAAAACCAAAAAAGAACACACACAGTTACAGCAGTAATGATGTTGATGACGATGATGATGAAGAGCAGTAGAGCGGCAGTGAACGTGGATGATCACTGTGAGGGGTGAGGGGCATCCCGCGAACATATAGGGTGGACAAAAACATACACAAAGACGTAGGACACCACGTATCAGGCAGGCGTGAATATGCAGGCAGTCGAGAGTGAGACACACACAAAAAAAAACACGAAATAAATTAAAATATGCTATGAACTGAACAAAAAATAGCAACCTAGAACAAAAAAAAAACAAGACAACTTGCACATTCGAGTTGTTCCCAGGTGATCGGGGACAGACACACTGTTTGAAGCACAGCCGTCGACTGTTTTATCATTAGCTACATCTCAAGCTCTCGCTTGTTAGGAAGGTCTGCGGCAAATAAAAAGGGCAAAAATCGGTAGACCTCTTTAGTCATATTAAAAACATAAACAAGAACTAGCACCATGAAAGAAAGCTTCCATCAAAACGACTCGCTTTATTTTTCGAATAATGGAAAGATTTCAACGTATGAGAAATGGCTGAGTCCAAAATCTGCGGTCAGCTGAATAACTGGTATGGATATCAACTTTAGGCATGGTTTTCATGATGCCTAAAGTTATACGTTGAAATCTTGGCCTGGCGTTGGACACAATTTTTTTGTAATTGAGTGACTAGAATGGCAGATTCAAGCTCAAAAATTTCAAAATCCAAAGGCTATCGTAGACTCAAGCCCCCAGAGGCCGCATTACACGACTGCGTAAGAGGAAGACCTTCGTGGTTTTGCTTTTGCTACTTTTCTTGTGGAAATTTCATTTAACATCACCCGAAAAAGACACCGACACTGATACGCAAAAGAACGGCACGCGTAGTTCCATAGTAACGTTGCAGCGCGACCGCGCGCGTCTCAGTAAAGCGAGTATGGGTGGATGATGTCAAACATAATACCGAATCCGGCTTCCTCTATTCCCACTGCCATGACTCCCTGATCAGCTGAAGATGCAAACCTATCGACAAAGCACTCAACGGCCACAAGAGCGACTGGCTACTCATCTGAGTAGAGCGGGCAAAATTAGCAAAAATTTGGCGCAACAGCAATAGCAGCGGCAGAGGGGCATATTTAATAGTATCTTCGCTGAGGGTGAAATCGACGATGATGGTGATGATGAAGAAACTGCTTCATGAAGTATCTGCGACGTACCGGACTCCACGGACCCGCTTGCCACGCTGCTGGAGACAGCTGCGATGCAGGACACGGCGACAGCTCGCAGTCGCGTTGCGTCGTCGGTTTCGCGTCACGACATTCGCTTTCGTCCTGGGCTTTCGCACTCACCGCATCTTCGCACCATACACGACGTCTCTGTATTCCACCACCACACGTTACTGAACACTGTAACGAAATAGCAATTAAAAGACCGGCAATGAAGTGACAAAACTGTGAAACAACTAAAGTCGAGGGAGCTAGTGCACTTGAGGGGAAGGGGGCAGTCGCGCGGCGCAGTGTGTCTGCACTCTTTAGCGCAAAACGAGGAATACGTCAACGAAGGGGAATGCAGGCAATTCAGGGGCGGTATTCAATCCTTCCCCCAGGGGGATATATCCCCCTCTCTGATTCAATCCTCTGGGGGGACAAAAAAGGGTTGCGTCATAGGACCTAGCATACCTCTGTGTTTCTACCTGCCAGACAGTTAGAGCAGCGCTACTACCCTCCACTGATGAAGCACTCTTTCCCCTGAGGGGTCGCGCTGCTCTAACTGTCTGGCAGGTAGAAACACAGAGGTATGCTAGGTCCTATGACGCAACCCTTTTTTGTCCCCCCAGAGGATTGAATCAGAGTAGGGGGATATATCCCCCTGGGGGAAGGATTGAATACCGCCCCAGAAGGTTGTGGGTAGGACGAGCTACTCGCCACGCGAAATGTCGGAATGTGCGGGTTCAGAAAGCTTCAACGCCACTTGCGGGTAGATCTACAACGAAAAAGAACTCGGGGCTGATTTTTGGACGAGTTTTTGCGCTGCTTCACACTCAGTAGAAGGCAGTATAGGAAAGAAAATAAAGAGCTCCAGGTAATAATATCTAGGCATGAAAATTTCTAAATTTGCTGGGTATTTGATACGAGCCCGCCATACCAGGCCTTCAGTACCCGCCCACATTTAACATGACTGGGTCGTATTGAGGAAGTGTCAGGTATGATTGTCGAGTTGTAGCGGCGGTGTCAGGAGAAGGGAGTTCCCAAAACGAGACATTTTTGAATCTGGTTTCTTTACAGATTTCATTTTTGAACTTACGTGAGTCCATGGAGAGATCTGCCAAGTGTTGTTGCTCTTCGGCGGGCACGTCATTGGATTGCATTGGTCGAACATTCGAGGCTTCTTCGTATCGTCGCAAATGAGTCCATCGCAAGACACCGCACGCCGTCGCCATCCGCCACCACATGACACCGAGCACTAAACGAGCGATAATGTCGGTAAGTTGAGTTTCGCAGGCTGTGGGTCAGGAGATCCGTGTGCGGCACGTTCAGTACCTCCCCTTCAAAAAGCGAGAAAGTGTCGGGTGCAGACCATGCACCACAAGTGACGACGGCCTTCACAAAATGTTAATGTTTTCTGCCAATGAAATGATTAGCCTGTTGCAGTTGTATTCTATCGATTGTCACTAATTACAACTATCATTTACCAGAAATCAGCTATCACTATGAACAACTTCTAACCAGATTTACTTGGAGGCCGTCGTCAGTTGTGGTGTTTGGTCTGCACCCGACACTTTCTCGCTTTTTGAAGGGAGGTTACACTCAATACCGTTCATTTTACGGGCGATTTCAGTTTGTAAGCAATAAGTCACTCAAATTTTTTTGTTTGACATTTCATAAAAACAGGAAACAGCTCAGTATTTTCATAAAAAGTAAAGATAGAAAGGGGGAGAGTGAATTGAGCCTTCATTCCTCCTTCCAGTACTCAATGTTGAACAAATTAAATATAGATCTTATTCGACACCTTTCACCACTGTTGCAATGTGAGCGTCACCGCGGAGCTGCAATTTGTACCTCATGGCTACCCTCGCCTTCAAATAACCAGAAATTGTGCAATTGCAGAAATTGACGTGGCATTAACGTGGCATCGATTCAAGAACATCTTTGAGCACACGTGATGTCACCTTTTCATCGAGAATTTAGCCACGTGGCACACGTGGCTAAATTCTCGATGAAAAGGTGACATCACGTGTGCTCAAAGATGTTCTTGAATCGATGCCACGTCAATTTCTGCAATTGCACAATTTCTGGTTATTTGAAGGCGAGGGTACGTACAATACACAAAAACGTACCTTCGTCCATTTCGCCCAGTGATCCAATCGACCCAACGAGGTGGTTCTCCTTTAAGGGCACGTGTCCAGCTTTGTCAGGATCGCATCGATGGTGGGCGTTCAGCGACGTTGCAGTCGGTTTCAGATGCAATATCGCCAGAGTCCCTTGCAACACACATCACGCTTCTCGACTGCTGCACATGAGCTCCGCATGTAGCTGGGCACTGAAGAAACGCTTCATATTATCAAGACGTGGCTTTAAATCGTGCACATTCTGTTTCCCGCGGTGGGACATGTCGTAATTGCAGAATCAGGGAAACGCGATTTGCACAGGCTTCGAAAAAATCGATGTAAGGTGAGATCTTAATGTCTGGATGCTACATGATGCTACGTGCATTATTGGTCCGTAATCGCTATGTTGCCCTCCGAGGAAAACAGAGTGTAGCAAGTAGTTTATTACTACAGCATCGTTAGTTCGAGCACACCTTGCGATAGCCAATGAATGCACATGAGCCAATAATTTTTGCGAACGAGCAAATTATTTACCCACTTCTTCGCAAATTGTTGCTGTGTCCGCAAATTAGGAGGGCAGAAAATTGATCGATACCCTTTAGCTGGTGAGGTGCCATGAATAGAAAAGAAACCTCAACCTCTCATAGGGATCGTGATTGTAAGCACATGGTAATGCAGTTGAGCCATTCCCTCTCCCAAGAACTAGTGTCCATGAATTCTTTACACTATTTATTATGAAAAACCTGACCAGCCATCTCGCAGCTCATTTAAGTGAAAGCCAATGCTATTAACTTCAGCGATTAAGCTCAACTAAACATGTATAAGTGCTAACACAGCAGGTTAAAGACACCGCCTACTTGAAAACGTCTACCTTTTTACATATTTTCGGGTAGTTTGTGGCCGTTGTAGATCGCTTGTGAAGTAAGGCATGTTGGAATTCAATTCTCTTGCAAAGAAGTCCGCTAGAAAATCGCTTCTGAGCGGATGGAAAACGGCAGGCCGGACGCATAGTCGGTCGGACGACAGCAACGACCGCTGCTGTCGGACGACAGCAACGACCGCAGGTGTCGCATAAACCGCGGTCGCAAATGGAAGGCGACGCGGTCACCCAATGCAAACCCAGACAACACGTGACTGCGCGTGATCGTATTTCGAAAGTCCCACTGTAGTGTGGAATAGTAGCTGCGTATTGATCTGCGACACTTACGATCGTTGCTGTCGTCCGACAGCAGCGGTCGTAAGTGTCGCATGTGTCGCAGATCGATACGCACCCAATGCTGTGCGACACTTGCGATCGTTGCTGTCGTCCGACCGACTATGCGTCCGGCCAAAGCATTGGGCATTGAATCAGTACCTTTTGGGATGAGCCACGCGCTCTAACTCTCGCACTCAGAAGTCAGAGGCATTAAAATGTGACCACCGAGGCTATACACGACACACGACAGACTAGCATTTTCGATGACTGTCAAAAGGATGTTATTCTTTAAATACGTCTTCTACCGTATCATGATCTCAAAGGTCCTGAAAAAGCTATGGTGGTCTCCACCATAAGAGTGATTTCGATCTGTGATTGGTCCCATAATCGGAAAGCATGAATAGTGCTCACTCTAATGAACCCTCTCCCACTTCTCATGATTTTGAAGAGATTAGGGGTGCGTCCTAAAGTTATTCCGATCAGAAAGTGCCTCAACTCCTAAAGCGACATTACGAGAACTCGCATGTCATCGCACGTTAAATCGTGCATTTTTAAAAGTCCAACAAAGAAGCTCAAGTGCACATTTTTTCCCAATATTTGCAGTACATTTGTTGGATATATTAACGTATCCAATAATACTACCAGTTAGGCCGATGTCATAGTTTGCGAATCGAGCGGAACATCGCTAACGATCCGAGCGTGGGCGTCAGCGATGGGAATGTTGCACAGCGAATCGAACTTTTGCGCACAGCGAGTCCACAGCCGTGGTATCATCGTTCGACCGCTGTCGTAAAATTTGCAGTCGTGTATTCGGCCTGGCGCAAAGTGCGATCGCTGTGCATATGTTCGATTCGCGACAGGCGCAACCTCGGATCGCAGCGATTCGCATAGCGACATCGCTCGATCGGCAAACTAGCACATCGTCTCCCCCGGAGATTAACTCAAGTTTGAGACCTGTCCGAGGACAAGCGTTTCGCCCGTAATCTGCATACCTGTTATAACAGAAGAAAATGATTTGGATGGGAATGGAAATGAACAAACCGGCATCCACGGTCCACTTTGCCAAAAAGCGCAAACTTTGATATGACATGGTCGCTTGTCTTCCACTTTCTCCAAGTCTCGACAGTATTCAGGAGGTAAATCTCGTTGATGATCTCGACATTTTACCTGCAATTCAACTACGATTTATCAAAATGACTAGTCTCAACAGAGCGTTACTACATTTCGCAGACGCTTTGCTTTAGCCTTCAGTTGCAGCGATATATGACGCAAGAATGTGTATCGATTGGTAAGACCACGCGCCGCGCGAATGCGCTTCTAACGATAGGAGCGCTTACACATTTGATAGACGAAAGACTGTTTATGAGGGGATAGAGGAGAATGAGCCATCTGCTACATTCGAGTATCAGGAACGTGTACGCGTGCGAATCTTGGCCGCCCTACGCGGCGAACTAACCTTTCATGAAATGTGGCCTGATAATAGATACAATACCACAGCGTCTAGTTTTATTAGGCCGATGTCAGACTTTGCGAATCGCGCGATTCGCTAGCGTCTGCGGTCGCGTCGCGGCCAGTGAATCACTCAATTGGCTGGTACCGCAACGCGACCGCGGACGCTAGCGAATCGCGCGATTCGCAAAGTCTGACATCGGCCTTATAGGGGCTGCGTGTAACCTAAGTCAGCCATGTATTTCTGGTCGTCAAAGTACATTGCGGGATAGCGAATTTTGAGCGTAAATTGAGCCGATGTGTACCACCGGTGGTGCACCCCAGAGCAAATAGTTTCTGCCCAGAACGATGGAAACTCATCGTGGCTCTTTGTCTTAGTTTCAAAAAACCATCTCATGCCAACAGTTTCTGAGTACGCATAATGGGAACCTTTCTTCGGACGCACTGTTCGCTCGAATCAACTGCATGCCCGTAAAGGTGTAGGGCCTCTGATTCTTTCAATACCTTTCTACGCAAACCATCCGATAAGTCATGCTCAGAAACTGACCAGTCTCCGTTGGGTTCCATTTCCGCATGTCGCTGAGCATTCCGACCATGGTCCTGTGGCCCATCTGATCGGAGGAACATCAGCTGGTTGCGTTAGCAGATCCGAAACACGAGTCTCACATGGATCCCGCTCACAAGTTCTTGTTTCACGCGGTCGGGAAGCCTTTAATGATAGTTTTGGTACAAAGAAGAGGAACTATTTTTCGACTGTACCTTATCGCACAGAAAGTCCTTGACGGGCTCCTTTTTCGGTCCTGATGTGCAGTGAGCACGACGAGTTTGCGTGCCATTACCACAGGTCACCGAACATGGTCCCCACGCGGATACTTCCCATGAGGTACATGGAACCAGGCTGAAAGTGGAGGCGTTTTAGATTTTGAGAAGTAACATTACGTGCTAGTGTCTCACTTGCAAGACTGTTGAGTTGTGGGAGGACTAGCATCTCCGCAGAAGGACTGGTCGACGACTTGCTCGCGGTAGACGCATTCAGCAGCACGACGTCTCACTCCTGATCCGCATGTCACAGAGCACTAAAACTTTATGATGCTTCGAACACATGTTTTAGGACAAAATTATTGAATAAGTTCAAGGTCAGGGTTGCCTTGGACTATTCAGTCCGAACACCTTCGGCACATGTATTGATTTAGCGCGCGCAAAATCGATACTTGCCCTTCATGTGCGCATGCTGATGGATCGCCCCGGAGGTAATCTATGGAAAGTGTTAGTACTCACCGCGCTCCAGTCGTTGGTTCTCCAGAATGGACATGGCCCGAGGTTGCATTGTCGATGGGAAGGCGGCTGTTCCTGATCTCCAGCAAGACACAGTTCAGCTCTGACGTCTTCACCTCGAGAATCCACGCACGAGACCCGCCGAGGTGGACCAGCCATCTTGACATGATACCTGAATGCCCCGTTGATTTTCGAAGCTTTGAGAACTTTCCCAAAGTATTTTGGGAACTTACGCTGCACTGAGTCCATTCACCGACTTTCCATGATGGACACGCAGGACGAGAACACGGTTTCTGCACGATACGCTCACGATAGCTACATCTGGCTGAAAATTTAGCAAATGAGAATGGAAGGGTCTTTCCGGAAAGCAGTTTCCCACGCACCAGAATCCAATGGCCTTCCGTCTCGGTCAACGCAGATCGCTTCCCTGGTCTTGAATTCCATCACCACACGTCACCGAACACGTCGACCATTGACCGAACGACCATGCGGTACACATCTGCTCGTTGCATGATTCACGGTCGTGCTGAAAATTTCAGCTTTTTAAGTAATCTAGAAGGAAGTTTTCACTAGCAAGGGTGGCAGTAAAAGTGTTTTAGAAGTGTTTAGAACGTCGGCAGTTCAGTTCAAATCAAAGGTACCCGACAGGAGGCCCGCCGCGCAGCAGAGACGCAGACTTAGCGGACGAGTCGCAGCGCGTACTGTGCGATGTGAGGACGTACTACACATTCTATTAACTTGACGCCAAATCGCCACAGTACGCGCTGCGACTCGTCCGCTGACACATCTGCGTCTCTACCTACTCGCCGCGCGACGAGCCTCCTGTCGGGTACACCTATATCGGTTTCCTTCTGCAAATATAGCAGTTGAAAGGCAGATGTTATTTTGGACTGTTCGCTCCTCCTTTCCTCTTTCTTATCCTTTCCACTTCCTCAAAAATGAAAGTAGAGCCGCTAAGAGATGTTGAATTAGTATCTAACCATAAGGGTAATGGCCTAAGAAGGGCGAAACTAGACTATTGTTTTACCGGTTAATTTCCGCTTTGGGAGAGTCCCATCGGTGCTGACGTCATCAGCGTGAACGCTCGGATCTGCTTTTTTCTAAAACGGCTAGAGTCCAAAGGCGAACGGACCAACAGCAAGGTAGCCAATCGGTGGGCGGTACAGCGGCAAATGGAACTCACCGCCGTGGGCAAGGCCGTCATAGACCGCTATAGGGTCTAGCCCGCTCTGTGACATTTAGGACTCTCATCATTTTATGTGGTATGTTTTCCCTTCTTTGACTTTTGAAGTATTGTACCACCTGCCTAAGGCCTAATCAATAATCAATGATAAGATATCAGCTCTGCTCATGATCGAGTCCTCTTCCTCATGCTTTAGGTATTTTTTTGTTTCCACTGTGGTTTTACAGCAGCGAAATTAAGGATCATAAGTATTTATGACGTCTTCGTTCGAGAAAATTGCACATGTATTTTGTTTCCCGTACCAGAATGAGTCGTAAATGCAGACCTAGCAACATAGATGTTTAACATCACAAACTGTTCGAGCTCAACGAACTTCATATTAAGGCAAGTCCTTCAGGGGCGATATCTGCCTTTGGCACTATTGAGCCTATTACAACCCAGAGGGGGGTGGGGGGTGAGATGATCAAAAAATTTTTTCGCTGAAACTTGCGCTAGGGGGGTTATCGAGGCTCCTGATCACGAATATGACCTTAGTTTTTGGCGCTGGCGCCAAATTGGCGCCAATTTGGCGCCAAGGGTGTTTTCACCAAATTCGCTGTAAACTTGTGAATAGGGGTTATCGAGGCTCCTGATCACGAATATGACCTTAGTTTTGGCTCAATTTCTCTAGGTGACGCTCGAAATAGATGTCATCTAGGCGCTCATCCAGTAAGGGGGGGGGGCATCAAGTGTTTCTCGAAGTACGGGACCCCGTGAGCCAGGGGGAGTGAAGCCAGTTCAGCGGGGTGGGGTTGAGGGGACGTAAGCAAACCAGCCCTTTTGGCACATCGGCTGGGACCGTATGCTGAATGTTGGGGAGGGGATGGTGTCCCCGACGGTGGACGGACAACTTCAACGCGGTCCTTAGAACCGCCACAATTTGGCGCTTACCTTAGAACTAAGCCTTAAAGAGAGGACGGGTCCGTCCCCTCTCCTAGGCTTAGTCCAAGGGTGAGCAGACCGGTCCTTCTGGCGAAGCTACTGGACCAGCTGCACCACTTGCGTCAGTACTCTCCTATCGTACCAACCGAGTTGAAGTAAACCGTCGACCGTTGGGGACCCCATCCCCTCCCCAACATTCAGCATACGGTCCCAGCCGATGTGCCAAAAGGGCTGGTTTGCTTACGTCGTTGAGGCAGGCCACTTGATGCCCCCCTTACTGGATGAGCGCCTAGATGACATCTATTTCGAGCGTCACCTAGAGAAATTGAGCCAAAACTAAGGTCATATTCGTGATCAGGAGCCTCGATAACCCCTATCCACAAGTTTACAGCGAATTTGGTGAGAACACCCTTGGCGCCAATTGGCGCCAGCGCCAAAAACTAAGGTCATATTCGTGATCAGGAGCCTCGATAACCCCTATCCACAAGTTTACAGCGAATTTGGTGAGAACACCCTTGGCGCCAAAAACTAAGGTCATATTCGTGATCAGGAGCCTCGATAACCCCTATCCACAAGTTTACAGCGAATTTGGTGAGAACACCCTTGGCGCCAAAAACTAAGGTCATATTCGTGATCAGGAGCCTCGATAACCCCCTAGCGCAAGTTTCAGCGAAAAAAAATTTTTGATCCATCTCACCCCCTCTGGGGTTGTTGCTCAATAGTGCCTGTATTTTTTGGAATCGGCGTTACACCTGGCAGCCTGGCTAAAAAATCAATATCGCCTTTGCTTTTTGATGATATTGGCCTGGCCATCGGGGTTGCCTAGTCTGCATTTAGGACTCGTCTAGGCACTAGAAAAGTATGTACCATGCTTCTGTATCTCCCAATGACCGTGACCCGCCCCGATCGTGTGTCATCCTAGTACTGATTTCGAAGAGTGCTTGTATCAGCTATTTACACTACTATACTGTATTTTACTTTTTTTCATGAGAGCCCTTTATGACGGTATGGAAAGCGAAATGGTGATTACCTTCGGTCCACAATGAGAGTAGTGAACTTCCTTGTCGGCTGCATCCATGCACTGAGCGTGACGCATTCGAACTCCACCGTCACATGATCGGGAACACTGAAACAACGATGGTCACTGAGGAAACTCAGCCAAGCTCAGGAAGAAAATGGAGGTATATGAGGGAAGGTACGTTCAGAAGGTACCGTAGGGTTTGCCCAAAGAACTGATGGAGTATTAAATGTCATAAACTCACTTCGGACCAATGTCCGTACACCCATCTGGGACATGGAAAGCGATTGCACTCCTTCTCGGCTACTTCCTTTGCCTCTCCCATGCAAAGATGGTCTGGTACGACACGGTTGTGATCGTCTATGCAAACCACAGTTCGACGGGAAACGCCAGCAGAACCACAGGATTGTGAGCACTGAAATAACCATAATTTCCTTGTTCACTAGGAGAGAGCTCGGCAAAAAGATAGACTTTAGCTCACCGTTGTCCATTCGCTATAACTCCATCGTCTTCCCGAGCAGTCCACGAAGCAAGTGACTCTTTCCGATGGTCGGCTGGAAGCACAGATAATAATAAAACCTTTCGAATGAAAGCC